GTCTTCCTCATCCCGTTTCTGTCTAGCTGTCCTCATTTTTTGAAAACTAAAAAATAAGTTCTAGGATCTCCCATACTCAGGTATGGCCTCATTAACAAACCAAAGAAAATCCTGTTTCCACACAAAATTCCATCCCGAGGTACAGGGACCAGGATGTCAGTTCGTATTTTTGAAGGACAAAATTCAATCCATTAACAGATGATTTCTTTTTAAAACAATTGTTAACTGATAATTTAGTGAATGAATATTTTCTTTTCAGGATTTCCCCTGAAGACATTTAGCTGTAATGAGAAGTGTTTCTGGTTGAATTTTAAAAGTTAGAAACTTCTTTGGAATGAAATTCACAGTTCAGTAAATTCTCAAATAGGACACAACTGCTCAAAGCACTTACAGATAGTGTTACCTGCTAACTAAACTTTACCTTGCACGTAAATAAATCTCCTCTTCCTTGCCACCAATATGCAGTTACTGGAATTACATCAATTTATAGCAATTATCATGGGCAGAAGTGCTGCTCTTTCCTTACTATGTGAGCCTGGGCTAGTCATTTAATAACCAGTTTGAACCTCCATTCCTTCATCTGAGAAATGCCACCGACACCTACGTCATTGTGTAAATTGATGGAGCAAATGCATGTATAAATACCTCACACAGCATGGCATCTGGAAGGAGTATAATAAGTGTTCCTAAATGTCCCCACCCCATTACATCACTGCTGTGTGCCGACAGAAGGGTTGTAGAGTTAGTATTTATAAAAGGTGCCTGACAATGACAATTAATGTTCTTAAATGGTTTGAATGTATGTTGGAAGATTGAATTCTCCCAGTGATCTATGGGGAGTGTAAAAAGCAGGATTAGAGTGTGGGATTGAGTGGTGAAATAGCACCCCTGGTGTATGCTACAGGGAAAATGATTTTTGTCGTTTACACTGCTGCTCTACCAACTAAATGGGATTTGGTATTGATTTTGTTTGTATTTATTTCTCCTAGTGGTTGAGGAGAATGCAAGCATTTCATGTTATTGCCTTTAGGTAATTGTGGGTTTTGGTGAGAAGGAATTTGCAATTTCTGGTTAGAATATGGTGCTCTTTACTTTTCTTGAAGCTGTCTGTTAAGAGCAGCATGTTAAACTAATGTCTATATTCCAAACGTATTTTAAAATTCTTCACCTCCACTCTGAATGACCAGGCTTTTTTTACTCTAGACTGCTCTGAAATCCCTGGAATATTTTAATATTAGTGTCTCTTCTTATTAGAATAATGACTCAAAATCTTTCCTTTCTTGATAGCAAGAAAAAAAGAAAAGCAGCAAATATGTATACGACTGTCAGTTTACAATACAGGTACATGCTTCTTCCTCTTTGATCTTTATAGCACCCTTGGAAGTAAGGAGGTTTGATTGTATGTCTATTTACAGATAAAGAAGTCAAAGTGTCAGGACTGTTAGGTGTTGTCTGATGTCACACTGCTAATAAGGGTTGTGGGGACCTAAGTACCTTAGAGTGCTGTCATTGGGTGTGTAGACATTAATTATATCTTTTTGTACAGTTGACCTTTTAATCATTATCTGTTATCCCTTTTTGTCTCTTTTACTGGTTTTTGCCTTTATCTTAGCAGGAATGAATATTGCCACTTTAGATCTTTTTTATATTTCCATTTGTTTACACATATTTTTCTACCTTTTGATTTTTAGTCTATCTTTGTCTTTAGGCCATGTTTTCTTATCATTCTGCTTCTCTCTCTTTCTCTCTGTCTCTCTCTCTCTCTCTCTCTCTGTGTGTATGTGAGAGAGAGAAAAAAAATTGTATTTCAAATTAGCCAGCTGGACTCAGTTTAGATGATCCCAATTTTGTTGGCAACATCCAAAGCATCATAGTCAGGAGCAAGTTGAACATTGGCCTCCTTCTCTCCACCAGGCCTAATGAAAATGTTGACCTTGGCCACCTCAGTGTCTTAGAGCTTCCTTGCAACTCCTTTGATTTGGTGCTTATTGACCTTGACATCCACAGTGATGTTGTTCTCCTGTCTTCTTCATGGCTGACTCAGTGGCCAGAGGAAACTTGATGATGGCATCGTGGTCAAGCTTATTTCTCCTGGGGGTATTTGGGCTGCCTTCAGAGTCTCAGCATCTTAGGTTGCTGGAAGGTGAGTGATGTGCAGATCTCCTTTTTGTGTGTGACTATGGGTGCCCTTCAGGACTGCCTTCTTGGGGAGGGGCTGGGACTTCCTTCTTCCCTTTTGGTGCCATCTTCATAGAAAGGCTTCTCTTTTACTTTTGAGTAGTGCATTTACTCCATTTGAATTGAGTATAATGAGCAATGTTGTTTGTGTGCTATCATGTCAACTCTAACTCATAGCAACCCAATAAAGAACAGAAAGAAACTTTTCACTATCTTGGACCAGCTTCATGATCATGACATGCTTAAATCCATTGTTGCAGTCACTGTGTCAATCCATTTTGTTGAGGGTCTTCCTCTCTTTCTCTGTCCTTCCACCTTTCCAGCATGATGTTTTTCTCCAAATGCTGGTCCCTCCTGGCAACATGCCCAGAATATATGATATGGAGTTCACCTTTGCCTCTAAGGAGCAATTAGGTTGCACTGCATCCAATATATATTTATTCTTTTGTCAGTATATGGGTAATCTGTGTTCTTCTCCAACTCCACAATTTAAAGGCATTGATTTTTCTTCTCTTATCCTGCTTCATTGTCCAACTTTCATATGCATAGGAAATGATTTAAAACACCATTGACTTGAATCAGGCCACACTTTAGTCTTTTAGCTGATCTCCTTTCTCTTTAGCACTTTGGAGAGGTCCTTGACAGCATATTTCTCCAATGCAACACAGTATAAAAAGGAAGCAAATCAGAATAGAAAAGTAAAAAAGATAAACAAGAGACAGGAAAAAGCTAGAGAGAAGAGGGAGAAGAAATCAGAAACACATTTTCAAAATTGAAAAAAACAGTGGAAACAAAGAAAGGGGGGGCAAGTAGGGGCCTCTGGAGAGGGGCTGATTGGTGCTCTTGCCACTGCTGTGGAAGTCTGGATGGCTGGTCTGGGACAGTGTGTCAGCCCATCTAGAAGAAGGTTGGCATTGGAGTGCCCAGTCATATCAGAGTTTCTGCACATCTGAGAGGTGGCTGAGGGTACATGATGTGAACGGGACACAGAGCACCTTTTCTACTCTAGGGGACCTCAAGGGGCTGGGCAACCCCCCTATGACAGAATTACTACGGGCCTCTGACATGCCTAGGGTACTCTGCCTGGTCAGCCCAAAGGATAGATGCAGCCAAGGTATCCAGTCAGAGATGGTGTGCTTTGCTGACAAGACACTTAACTGCTGGCGTGAAATGCCCAAGGACAGTGCCTCCACAGAGCCCTATGTGTGGGCTTTGTGTACTCAAACAATGCCAAGTGAGAGGCAAGAACCCCAGTCAGAGTGGTGTCCCCACCAGTCCAAGAACTCATTGTAGACTGGGAAGAGCTCAAACCACTGGCACCTGCACAGTGCCTCACAATGCAGAGCTGTGTGTGATGCCAGCATTAGATACAAAATGGCATAAATCTGGCCTCAGGCAGAACTGGGACTGAACAGGGAGAACAGCGCCAACCAGCCACTTGGTGGATGGAACCTGGGAGAGTATGGGGAGGGTTCATACTTTTCTTGCCGTTAACGTTCTATTGATGTGAACGCTGTCACTTGATTTCCACACTGTTCAAAAAGCTACCCACATATATTTAGAATGGCCATTTATAGTTCACTGGTCTGGTGGTAAAGAGTTGCCCTACCATCCTAAAGGCAGGCAGTTTGAATACTCTATCTGCTACTCAGGAGAAAGATGCACAGTCTGCTCCCATCTGATTTCAAACTCTGAAAACCCTCTGGAGGGCTGTCTGTGAGTTGATTCCCTAAATTGTTTGTTTGTTTGTTTGTTTGAAGAAGACTTCAGGGTTATTTTTGGTTTAAGCTTTAAACATTATCTCAGGGGTAATAGTTTTAGGTGTTTGTCCAGCAAGATGAGTTCAGAAAGTTTTGGTTTCATGGACAGTTTTAAATTCTTTTCTGCATTTCCCCCCTTTTTCATCAACATTCTTCTATATAATCTTTGACCAAAACATTCAGAATTATTAGCCAGCACCATCCTATTTTAGTTTGATAGCAAGGGTGGCAGTTGGCCATGAAGACAATTAGCCACATATTTATTCCACACCTCTCACCTGGTGCTCCGCCTCCTCCTGTAGTTCCAGGTGAGTAGAGACCAACTGTTGTGCCTTGGATGGCATCTTGTGAGTTTTTAAGATCCAGGCACTGTACAATGAACCCGGAGGAACAACAAAAGCACTAAATTTGCTACTAGGTCAGTTACCCCGGAATCACAAGGAAACCATGACCGTAAACTTCCAAACTCCAGAACCAAATCTCATGAGTGCATGTTTGTGTGTGAACAACCTGTCTCAATTCCATGTGTCCTGCTTACACAAATAATATAGTCCTCATATTTTTTAATAATGTCCTGTGTGTAGAATATAGTCTGCTTTTAAAGAATCCTGCTCTTTCTCAGAGTGCTGTGAATCCCTCCAACCATAAAGAAGTATACTTCTTTATTATTCATTATTGTATTTTTCACTAATACAAAACTAATTTGAGCTTTGGATACTCTAGTATTTTTATTACCTTTTTTATTTTCCTCACAGATTCAGGTCTGAAAATCAATGATGCAAAAATAGCATACTAGCCTTTAAGATAAAAATAAGTAAAAAGTTGTCTGTTTTGGAAGTAAAACTTTTCCCCCATTTATTAATTTATCAGTGAAAAAATCATAATTACCCTTAGCTAGGGGGTGGGAATCTCTATTTTACATCGATTTTGAGAACTTTTAGGGAGTTCTCAGAACTAAATTGTAATACTGATATAAATTTTGAATTTGTAAATTAAATTCTTGCAATTGCTTTTTAATTTGCCTTGTATTAGCCAATCTTACAGGTCCTGCCCCCCCCTTAGGTAATAAAGAAGAAGAAACTTCACCAGTGACTCTGGAGTAATATGGAAGAAGATGGAAAAAGCTTGTTAAATGGGTAAGAAATAAAATGGTAGTTAAAAGTAATTAATGAAAGCTATTTAAAACATCAGTGTTATATATGACCACTTTACAAGGGCTGTCTGAGGTTGGCCTTTCTTTAGGGATCATGCATATTGATCAGTTGCTGTCTTTGCCTTATCTCGACGTAGAATTTTCACCACTTTAAGTTTTCTTTACCCTTGTGAATTTTTTAGTACCATGAGTTGGGCTCGGAAGGGCAGAGCCATATTTGAATATAAGGTTGGGATCTGAAGACCAGCAAATGCACTAAAATCAAATCAAGGTCTTGAAGCTTGGTGGATATAGACCGTATTTGGTTTGATCTGTCAAGAGTAATTATACCCTCTTCCTTTCTCTCCATATAATGCCAGCTATGACGTTGTACTCACCATGGGGATCTTATTTATTTTAGCGAGTACTTAATATACTTCAGATGGTAATCAAATAGAATTCTATAAAAAACCTTATAAAAAGTTTCACTAACTGTAGGAAACAAACTTTTTTTTTAAATTACACAAGTAACTTTACAAAATTTTTTTCTAGTGGTTTGGGTAAAAGTTTATAGAGCAAATTAGTTTTCCATTTAATAATAACACACATTTGGGTTTGTGACATTAGATACACATTAGGGGATCCTCAGTGTAATAGCCGTCTTCCTATTTCCTCCCTGGGCTCCTCATTTCCCTTTTCCCTGCCCTTTTCTGTCTTCTGAACTTTGGGTTTTTTGTCAGATGATGCCTTTTTGGCCTCATATGGTTGTTTGTCTGAGGAACAGGTTCTTCAGGGGTATTCTTGCTCACTTATAGGTCTTTCTGTTGTTCAGCTGAAAGGTGATCTCCAGGATTAGATTCAGTTTCCAGTTTGAAGGGCATCTAAGGGCAGTAGTCTCAGGAGCTCCACCAGTCTGTATTAGGCCACTGAGTCTGGTGTTTTTTTATGATTTGGAATTTTGTACATTTTTATTCTACTTTGTCCAGGGGCTTCTATTCTGGTCCTGATCCAAAGGAGTCAGTAGTAATAGCTGCATACCACGTAGATCTTCTGATTTTAGACTGTTGGATGCTGTGGTTCATTTTGCTTTGGACTAATTCTTTCCTTGAGACTTTCTTCTTCTTTACTGTGACTGTGTAGAGAAACCAGTAGTTGTATCGTCAGTGGGCAAGTTATGCATGCTTTTTTGTCAATTATTCACACATTATAGACAACCACAACCTTCTTACCCCAACCCCCTCAGGGATACACAGTATAACTGTTTCATATTTGTACAAACCTGTTCGTTTGTGTAGTGATTAGAAACATGGGCTCTGGAGCTGTCTGGTTTTGACTAACCACTTCTGACTTGTTATTTGGGCAGATGAATCTCTCTGTGTTTCAATTCTTTGAGTGTAAGATGGGAACAATAAAATGCCTATTTCACAATGATGTTGAGTTTTAATTAATCCATGTGAAAAAATTTTGGAATAATACCTGGAACATGTTGTTGTTAAGCATCATTGAACTAATACAACCCACAGTGACCCTGAGAACAGTGACTCTGAACCTTGCCCTGTCCTGTGCCATCCTCATCATTTCTGTTATACTTCAGCCCATTGATACAGTCACTGTACCACTCTTTTCAGAGGTCTTCCTCTTTCAGTGACCCTCTTTCCAAGCATGAGGTCTTTTTTCCAAAGACTGTCCCTTCCTAACGACATCCCCAAAGTATGTGAGACCAAGTTTCACCATCCTTGCCTTGAAGGAAAACCCAGGTTACATCTTTCTGCATAGTAGGTGTTCCAACACATAATAGGTATAGTTATCTTACTCCAGCATTTTAGTGTACTAGACATTCAGGGAGCTCTGGTGACCTAGTAGAAACTGCTGCAATCCCAAAGGCCTGCAGTTTGAGTCTGTCAGCTGGTCCGCGGGAGAAGAATGAGCAGCCTCTTGTGCAATTTACTGCCCCCTGAAATCCTGTTGGAGGGGTCACCTATGAGTTTAACAACAACAACAGACATCCACAAATGAATCTTATTTTGTTACACTCCAGGAATGAAACATCTTGTGTAAAGTAATCCTGATGGTTAGGATTTTTTTTTATCTTCTTATAAACATTTCTTCCCGCTTCATGTCTGTCAGAGCAATATGGAGTTAGAAATTTCCAGCTCTTGCCACATCCTTATGTGTATGCTTCTTACAGCCGACAGTTCATCTTGCCTCCGACAACAACCATCACAAAGCAGAATACACAGTTCTCTTGTTTCTGCATAGCTGTTCCAGATTTTCCGTTAGCTGCAGCTTCTTTCAGTCTACTTGAAGGACAAGTCTTCTTGAGTTTCTTTTCTTCTTTCTTGTTGCACAGAATTCTCATGGTTTTGAAAATGTCTGGCATCTTTTCCATGACTTGTCAGCACTTTCTCAGGTGGTGCAGTTACCTTTTTAAACAAAGAAGGGCAGTGAAACAGCTGTCTTTTTCTAGAATTTCCCTCCTGTATTGTTCGCTATACTCTGTTCATTATTTTTTTAATTATTATATCTTTTTTATTAATTTTAATGAAAGTTTACAGAGACTTTGGATTTCCATTCATGCATTGTTGCCCTTTTCTCCCTGCCTACCCCTCCCCCACCAGTTTGTTCTTCTCTTTGAAAAGTAAAAGAAAAATTCTTTCATTGTTATACAATGCCTCCCCTCAAGTCCACTCCACTATGCAGCCTTCATTCCGGACTCCTGTCATGACAATAATACCTAATCACGTATCCCTTTTAAATAGTTCTCTCTCCCTCATCTGTTTCAATGCAGTATACATAATTTATCCCATCTTTCTCAGTCTCCCCCCAACCCCAATGTCAGTCCTGTTTTACAACAGTGGCACTATGCAGTATTTGTCCTTTTGTGACTAAGATACTTCATTCAGCATAATGTCCTCCAGGGTCACCCATTTTGTGTATTTCATGAGTTCTTTGGTTTTCAATGCAGCATAGTATTCCATTGTGTGAATATACCAGAGCTGCTCTAGCCATTCATTTGTTGATGGGTATACTCTGTTCATTATTGTACTGTTGTACCTGCTATGACCACAATGAAGCTATTTTAGAGGATTAATTCATAAAAACAAAAGAGTATTTATTAGGTGCCAGTCATTGTCATTTAAGCCTGTCACTATTTATGAGGTACATACCTTGAGTATCTTCATTGACAGCAGAGAAAAATGAGACACAAATTAACTAACTTGCTAAAATAACCTTGTAACCAGCTTCAGGATTCAAGCCTAGACCCCTACTGGCTTAGTTTGCTACAGTGGGTGTGAATTTATATATAACACTAAGCCAGATACATCTAAAAATACACTAAACTGCTTTTTCTTACTTCTGTTACCTTACGGAAAATGTGAAGTCATGTCTCTCCCACAGGATGGGAAAACAGTGACTGGACTGTTAGACATACTTTTGTTCTTGCCTATACTTCTGTAAATGTAGCTGTTTTGTTTCATTAGCGATTGTTGATAGTAGATAGAGATTACTTGAGCTCACTAAAGAACGTGTTTAGAAGGCACAGAGTGAGTTGATTTGTAGATTATCACTTAGCTGCTATTTATAGAAACATGCAGCCCAAGTGATTGAATGGGGCAGCAGTTTGGAACTGATTGGTAATTGGAAATTGCTCTTTTGTCCTGTTGAATAATATTTGAATGACAGCAGAAATGTGTGAGAGAGAAGAAAGGTGAGGAGAAAGGTGACTTATAACTCTTATAATTAGAACGTCACTTGTAAGTAATGGTCTAAAAAGTAAATCTACATTAACTGTCGATGTTTGTGTAGGAGCTGGAAGGAGCTATAGCACATGGTTTTTGTTCTAGAGTCAGAGTTGTCAGGGAGAAGCACTGGCTTTTCTTCAAATAACAATTCATTTCCTATTGCACTGTGGTAAAGTACAAAGAGTAAGCCACATTTACAGTAACAGCAAGTACACTGATCCTGTGTTATGGCCTCTCTAGAAAGTGTGGCTGCTTGGGCATCAGTCTTCTTTTTCCCCCCCCCAACTTTTTTACCCCTCCCCCTGGTTTGAGTATCTCTTCTGAATATTCATGGAAGTTACGCTCATAGTGTACACAGCAGTACATAGTTCTAGAAGTGTGGTCCCAGGCTCCCCAAGGACCTAGTATGAAACATTATTATTCTTTTCCATCTTCGCTTTTTCACAAATATGAGGTAGAGTTGTGCAAAGAGTTACATGGCATGTGACATTGCAACCAATTGAATGCAGAAATAGATGAGAATCTAGCCATCTTCCTTTATTAACATGCTGCCGCAAATGATGGCAAAAAAAATGTTTCTAAGTACGGTCGTCAATTTAAGTATGTGGCAATATGTTAAAATTTTAGTTTTAAATTACAGAAAACTTGGATTTCCATACAATCATTGTTGCACATTTTCTTCCCTACGCCTTCCAGTTCACTTTTCTCTTTAAAAAGATTCTTTCATTGTTGTCTATGATTTCTTTTTAAATTTTTTTTTTAAATTGAAGCTTTGCAAATCATTGGTTTTTCATATGTCATGGACATTTTGTTTTATAACATTCACCATTGGTTACCATAATTAATTGCAATATCTAGTCAACACGTTTTGTCTGTTACCTTTCTCTCCTCCAGCTTGTCTATCTTACCCCTTTTCTCCCTCCCTCTGCATGCCTATTAACTCTCCAACAATGATTCTGTGTATAAATCTCTCCTTTGCATTTTATATTAGTGGTCCTAGATCATCATTGTGTTTTTTTAAAATAATAAATTTTATCAAATATTTTTAAAAGAAATATTATTAATCTTACACAGACTTTTTCAGAAAAGATCAAAATAAGAGCATTCTGCTGATAAAGAAGATAGGAAAAAAGTTTACAAAAAAATGACAAATCTGTGTCTCTCATGAACCTAAACGGATAAAATTTTAAATAAAATTTTAGCATGTCAATTCCAACAGTATAGAAAAAAGAATACTACAGTTGATTGATTGACTTCCCAG